GGCGCGGCGAACCCCCCACCGCCCCCATCCCCCCTCATAGGAAAAAGAAACCCCCTGCGAACTTTCGGCAAACCGGATAATTTAACCGCGCGAATCGATTCCGACCGAGTTTTACGATCGAGGATCGAAGGTGTACTCCGAGCGAGGTGTACTCTGTCGAGTGTTTGTACTCGGCCAAGGGAACGCTGTAGAAAATCCGAGGAAATCCCCCCCCCCCCTCCGAAGGGGGAGTTGTAAAGGGGAGTTTGTTGCGAAAACGGTGTTTCGCCTCCCCGATCGGAATACTTCTTTTACGCGGTTTTGGATCCTACCTTTCGGTACCCTGGGTGGAGGGGATTTCGAGGTTAGGTTGAAATTGCGCCCGGATGATGGAACGGATGGGAGGGATTTTTTTGGTCCGGGGGGTGGTTCCTGCTATTTGGGAGAAATGCCTGAGTATTTTATCTGGTTGCCTGCAGGCTGGGAGGAAATTACAAGCTGGGGTTCTGGGAGGAAAATTGCGAGCCCTTGGGGTGGAAAGTGGAGGGTTCTGGGAGCTAATCGTTGGAGGGCTGAGTATGAGGTTCGGTGATTTGGCAGTTATTGTACTTCGAGGAACCTGGGGACGCCAAGGAGATGCACGAGGAGGTTTATGGGTGCTTATCGTTGTCACGTTGTAATTGGCAGACATCGAAGACTGATTTTCAATTTGTGCTCCCGGGTCGAACTAGTTTTGGTTAAGTTTGTTAGGGCCACTTTTCAGCACTCGGCGGAACGATGTTTGCGGCTTAGCTTAAGAAAATGAGAGAATCGAGCGCTGTCGGTTGAGAGGAGGAAGGCGACGCAGGAGACGATTGAGAGAGGAGTCTGCGGTTACCTTCGGGCATTTACGAGACCATGGTACTTTAGGCCCGTTGCCATCTTCTTGTTTCTGTTCTGTATTCCAGAGTGCATGATGGACGACGGGAGCGCCAGTGCCATCTTCTGGAAGTAGGAGGCACCAGTGGCGGCCGCTGAAGGTAACTTCGACTTCCAGGAGATAGCTAGCTTCCTTTCCAGACCTTCTATTCTACTTCTCCGCAAAGCGACAGACGGGAAAGAAAGCGAAAAAAGCGAACCGACTTTTTTCCTCCCATCACACACGCCACCACCGCTGATTCAGCCAGCACAGTTCGCCGCAAAGTTCATTTTGCTGCTCGCTAGTGTTCGACCCTTTCCCACCCCCTTACCGCCCCGCAACCCTTCCGTGATACATGACAACCCTTCTGGTTCCTGTGTCCACCCGAGAGACCGCTCGCCGACTTTAACGACCGCCCTGTGGGACCCAAGGACGTCGACCTCGAAGAGCGGGACCGGCCGCCGCCATCTTGGATGGACGTTCCAAAACCTTCTTTCTCGTAGCTAATCGCCCAAATTTCACTCGATTAATATTCATCTACAAATTCACGGTCCAAAAGTGCTCATTGAAACTGGAAAGTGCGCTACGGACTGCCGGATAATTTTAGAAAAGCTAAATGAAGGCTGAAAATCCCGTCCTTTGAGGAACACATCGGTTCGCAAGATTAATTATTAATTAATACCTCGCTTAAAATTTACCCTCGATATTATATCGCGGTATTCTTTTCTTTTCCTTTTTTTTCTCTCTTAAAGAGCCTCGATTTAATTTTGCGCCGTTCTTTAAATTAAGTCTCTCGAGAGGTGGAGCTCGTGACGTCGAGTCGTCCCGGAAGATCATTTCCGCGATTTCACCGATTCCTCCCCAGCGACATCCGGCGTCTCGCTTGTTCGTGCATCGCGGATATTAGAGACGTTTCGCGTGTCAGTCCGGTGTAGTCGTAAACTTCGACTTTTCGTACGTTTCCCCCCTTTCTAGCCGGCCATCATGACTGCGGCCATCGCGATATCTCGCCCCAACCTCGGTCGAAAAAGCGCGCGGACACTCCCGGGATATCGCGAATTACATCTGCCCTGTTTAATTAATCGTACTCCCTCGACCCGAGCCTATTTCGAGACCTCCCTGTGAACTCTCCCCTTCGTGGTCGGAATCGAAAACAATTCCCGTACTTCGAAAATGGCCCTCTCAGGCCCCATCGTTCAATAAACCAGATATCGAGGAACCATGTCGGTCCATTTAAAAAAAAATATATATATTTATATATATCTCACCACGCCATCAAATCTCGGTAGGAGACGAAATTTTCATCCTCGTACTTTTTCCAAACGTTAAATAATCACTACTCACCAGGGCGTCGAGTCGTTGAAGTCACCCGTGAAGATCATTGCCAAAGGGAACCGATAAACAATTCTAGAGGTTTAACCAAAATTGCAATATTAAAGTCGTTCGTTCTATAAATGTTGTATATTAATACGAGTCATGTTGAATTTCTGTATAAATACGTTAAGAGGTGAAAATATGATAATGGGGGATTTTTAACGCGGTTCAAATGTCTTTTCTTCGCGGTTTCTCCTTCCGGGCACGAAGAGGAGACGAATCCTCGGGCCTGATTAATTGGGCCGAGCACTTCGTGAAGTTCTAGCCGACTCTCCTTCGGGAAGTTCATACACGGTGACATTCGGTAGTTGGCAGCGCGGGGACTCCTTCCTCTCCCCCTCCTGGCGTAATTCGTTCCTTATCACCGAAGTACCATCTTCTCACCACCTCGGCCCTCACCGTAGCAACTTCGCTCCAAACTTCATAACTCCCCCAGCGACGTCGTTCACCTTAATCACGATTCTCCTTTTACAGCTCTGTGACCATAACCATAGTGGCTCGCTCGTTGGATGTATATTGTCTCGTTCGTTGTCGATGTGTTTTTATCACCTCTGTACATATTTTCTGATTATGATGTGAGTTTTACGATTTGTTACTGTACCTGTTTATTATAGACGTGACTCTTGTGGACCCCGCTCCTAAGATCCCGCCAGAAAACGCCGTTCACTATGTCGCACATCTCACCACCCTTAACAGCCGATCCCTTAACAGCGGCCGAGACGAGGGGAAACTTTCGGCCGTCGAAATTTTCGGACCTCGAGGGTCCGAAATTAGAACTCGAAAATTTTCAGATAAGGAACGTGCAAAATTCTTTACGAGTACCTAATGGTATCTCCACCTGGATCGTATGGGGATGTGGGACTTAGCCACTCTAAGATACGCAGAGCAGCGTCGACATGCTCGCAAAATCAAAATTTTGGGTACGGGGTCCAAGATTTTGGGGGAAAATACCTCGAGAGTCCGATATCAGAACTCCAAAATTTCATATAAGGGCGGGCAAAATTTCTTTACGAGTACCTAATGGTATCTCCACCTGGATCGTATGGGGATTTGGGTATTAGGCACTCTAAGATGCGCAGAGCAGCATCCGCATGCTGTCGCAAAAATCAAAATTGTCCAGGGTCGAAAATTTCGCGACAGGGGAAATTCCATATCAGGAAGTGGACAATGGCGTGCAGAATGTCGTGAAAATCCAAAATTCCGGAAATTGACACCGAGGATCACTCGAAACGATTGGCCTACAGGCGCAGGAAAATTCCCCGTGGGAATGAAATCGGGAGAGTTTGGGGAAAAGGAAAATTGGAACGGCTCTTTTTGAGGGAAAGTCGGGAGCGCCGTGGCAAGCTGTCCGAGGGACATGTTCCGGACCGGTCAGGCGAAGCGCAGGGTGCAGGTGCTACGCTGGCATGCCCTGCATCTGCTGTCACGTTATGCAGCTCGTAGACAACTGCAGAGCATCCGCTGTCACGTCCGCAGAGCGTGTGTGTGAAACCCCTCTCACCGAATCGACACGACCGGGATCGAAGTTGCACCTTGCGAATTTCTCGACTCGAGACCTCGATCCGAGATCCAGGTGAAAAATCGCGAAAAATCGCAGAAAAAACGCGAAAAATCGGAGAAAAGTCGGGAAAAGTCGCGGAAAACCCCGGCGAATTCGGAGAATCTTTCGGGCGAGAATGAATCTCGAAAGTCAGCCCAAAAATCGAGACGAAAGTCTCTCGAGATCTCGACGAGAAGGTCGCCAGTAGTGAGTCGCTTCTTTTCAAACTCCCACCTGATGGACGACCCGGGTGAAAAAGTTACGGCAGGTGCAGAAACCTGCAGAGGTACCCTAAAAATCACCTACACCATGTACACTATCGATACCCGACAAAGAAACCTTCGCTTCCATCCGTTGAAAATAAAGAAAAATTATTTCGAACCCTTTTCCATACCCTGAGAACGGTGTCAGGGAGAAAGCGATGCACTTACAAGTGCAAGCTAAGTGCACCCTAGACATTTAATTTCCCATACACCCTAGTTAAAATTGAAATCCAACCCGCTTGCCCACGAAACTCACTCAGCGATTATCTGGAAAAAATATTAAACCTCAATAATGACTTACCTTGCCCCGGCACCAACTCGTAAGGAGTCGTGGTACTCGTTCGGTTTCAATTGTCCCCGGGTATCGATAAGAAGTAAAAAGGTTATACGAGACAAATCAGGCGCGTAACTTTTTCACCAGGTAAGTCTCTTCGGCTTATGGTCGTAGGTCGTAGGTTGTCACAGACCCGATTGGTTATTAATCGTAATCGCACTTAACTATCGTCACGGCCGTAGTTGGCTCGACTACTGGTCACTGTTGTAATTGTCGCTACTTATTATTACATTACTTGCCGTAATCGTTGTCGTTTACCTATGCCGCGGGGAGCGTGTTATGATTAGTTGATCGTTATCGTAATCAGTGCCACACGACACACACGCAGCTCCAGATGGTGTTAGATGTAAATCGTCTCTACGTGCGATCGCGCGACATCTCGCGATCGCCGCCCCCCTCGTACGGACACGTTACGTACCCTCCCCTCCTCCCCCTAGGATGGTGGATGCTGGTGTACCGTGTAACTTTGTCGTTGTCGGTGTTAGCCGCAAGATCTTTTTCCTTTGATTTTTCGTTCCTATCGATTCTCGACCCACCCAACCCGCCCCCGCGACCTGCGACCAAAACTAACGCCCGACTTTTCTCTGTTCCACCCGACCTGGCGGCGAGCAGACAGAAAGCTGTTCGTGGGAATGCTCAGCAAACAACAGACCGAAGACGATGTCCGACAGTTGTTCGCTGCCTTCGGCACAATAGAGGAGTGCACCATCCTGCGAGGACCCGACGGTACCAGTAAAGGTAAGTCCGAGATCTTTCTTCAAACGATCCGTCCGATCTGCCTAAGTCCGGCCAAGATACGACGCGACGGAGTATCTTTACGTAAAATACACCCTGAGAAAAAAGATTAACTGACCGAAACAAATATATATATATATATATATCGTTGTCTGAATCATACATAATTGCAAGAAACAATGATTTCGTTGCGAAGAAAAAAGATTAACTGACCGAAACAAATATATATCGTTGTCTGAATCATACATAATTGCAAGAAACAATGATTTCGTTGCGAAGAAAAAAGATTAACTGACCGGAACAAATATATATCGTTGTCTGAATCATACATAGTTGCAAGAAACAATGATTTCGTTGCGAAGAAAAATGATACCGTTGATTTAAACGAATTTTCTTTACTCTTACCGACATTTTGCCTATCAGTTGGTACGATAAACAATACAATTCGTATTTGCCTATCAGTTGGTACAATAAACAATACAAGTGGCGTTCGGCCTTAAAACCTGGACTTCAGTTTCTGTAGTTTTAACTTCTGTTTGGGATTTGTAACTCTTAAACTCTAGTATTAAAATTCAGGATTTCCTCGGTGCGAGACGGTGGATATTATCTGGGCATCATACATAAACATAATCAGAATCATACATAATTGCAAGAAACAATGATTTCGTTGCGAAGAAAAATGATACCGTTGATTTATACGAATTTTCTTTACTCCTACCGTCATTTTGCCTATCAGTTGGTACGATAAACAATACAAGTGGCGTTCGGCCTTAAAACCTGGACTTCATTTTCGGTAGTTTTAACTTCTGTTTGGGATTTGCAGCTCTTAAAATCTATTATTAAAATCCAGGAGTTCCTCGATGCGAGACGGTGGATATTATCTGGGTATTATCAGCGCGTAAATACCAGATATACGTGTCCATGAACTCGTAATCAGGTGATAACGTCCGATCGCTACGTCCTCGTCCCCTGCGCGTCTGCTTATTAGACCCGGTGTCGTCGAACGTCGCCCTTAATCACGGGGAAAGAAGTGATCCCGGCGACGAGCTTAGCAGAGCCTCGTGCTCGTTAATATTAAATATGGCGGTAAGCGCGCTGATATATAACGATATACAGCGACGTCGCAGCTCGGACGCGTCGGAGGCGTCGGTGGCGTCGGCGCAAGCAATTTCGGGGCGCTCCTCGTAATCCCTCGGAAGCCTACCAACCCCCTTGGTTGCCGTCTACCCCCGATGCGTTCTACCAGTTATTTGTGTATCCATTAGAGGGCCTTCCGACATCACCGGGCCCGGCAACTCCTCCATCCTCCCTTCGGCGACCTCGACCACCCTCCGGGATTAACGTGGCTCCTCCGAATCTGCGCCGTCGATGCGCCCCTGGTGTTGGCGACGCTAATATTAAAGCGGCCCCTGGACGGGGAAAAAATGGAAATCTCCGCCCTGTAACCGAGGAAAACTGGCTAGGAAAACCCGGATAGTGTCTAGACTCTCGCCAGGGCTTCTGCGTTAAAGTTCCAAGCCAGACCATGGTACCGACGAACCTTGCGAATTATGAAATTTATCAATGTAAAATTTATTAATGCGAATTATGAAATTTATTAAACAAGCCAGGCCATGGTACCGACCACCTGATAAAAGTCGAAATTTACAGACATCTTGACACACCTCATAACTCAAGTTTCATGCGAGAAAACGTCAAATAGAAAAATTGGGAATTATGAAATTTATTAATGCACGTAACACCGTGCACTTTTACTCGGATTAAATGTATTATTAGCCTTTAATTTAATTCAGATACCGAATGTGATATTACAGAGACAATGTCGTTTTACTGGAATTTATTCTGGCATCGAAATATCGATCGAGGATGGAAATTTCCATGGGCGTTTTTATCGGTGCCTGGTTGAGACTTGGTCCTTTATCCTATGGCATTCTTCTTGGCCTTGTCGAGCTAGAATTTAATTTGGCAAGCGGGATGATCTTATCCGGCTTTTCTCTCTTGTCGCCTGGGTGGGGGGATTTACCTGGAATTCAATTATGCGAAAGAATCGCGTGGATCTAATTTGAGATTTTCCAGGTAGGTCTGGGGCGGAAAAGTGTGGCGGAAAAATGTAGGACTTACGTTGACAGGTTGACGTTTTAGCTAGGTAGCCTAGCTAGCGCCTTTACAGATTTTTAATATGGGAAATAAGACACGTGTATCGAGACATATCCGGGTCAATGCTAAGGTGATAACACATTGTTGAGTTACCTGGTTCAAGTAATTGGAGGACGAGGGGGTAGAAGAGAATAGAAGGGAATAGAAGAGTGAGGGTGAGGGTGTCGATCAGAAAAGAAAAAGGGGAATGAATTTAAATCGAAAGTACTCAAACTGTAGAGAATGAGTGCAACCGCGTTACTTTTCATCAAATCCAACGCCATTTTAAGGATACCGAAAGTGCTCTGAAATTAATTTAACGCATTGTTCATATGCATCCCCAAGTCCACCCGGGAAGGGGGAATTGTTCAATCTCCTGTCGGGAGAATTATTGGGAATTTTTTATGACGTCCCTGGACCATTTTGCATCTTGGATCGGATTTAGTCAAATCGGAAGGGACGCTCGGGACGCGGCAGGACGTCGTTCGATTGTCCGCCAAGTTGGCGACCGACGTCGCGGACGTCGTTACAGGACGCCCCGGGTTACGTCTCCTGCAGGACCGGGAGCTGATCGTTTATTCCAGGCGACTCCCCGACAGGATACCTCGCGAGCTTCCGGGGCGAAACTTTCGAAACACGCTTCATCACCGCCCGACGAGAGAGCGAGCTCGCCGAGCCGAGTTTCATAACTAGCTAATCCGCCCCTTAATAGAGAGATCTGGACGAACCGGGATATTGGCCGGCCAGGACTCCGGAATCCGCATCCTGTCCAGGCCCGGCCCAGGATCGCATCTCCTGGGATGATCCTTGGCCCTCCCCCTCAGGTTCCATGACGCGGGCGAAGCGCGGCACCGACAATATGTGGTATCTCAAACTCTTGAAAATGGTACAACAATTTACGATGTTGTTGCATCCTCTCCTGAAATCCACTCCGATGTATCCTTGACATTTTTTGCCAGGGAAATATTACCCACGGAATTTTCCCTTCTGTCTATCCTGAAATCGTGTCTACCGAGATGATTTCCTGGTCATTGATCCATCCGTGGATGGATCAATTCTAAATTCCTGGGGATTATTGTAATTGCACTGGTTCATGATCGAGTGATTACTTGGTGTTAAGTAAAGGACCTAGACCCCCTGGAGCAGATTTTCTGATCGGCGTCGATTTTCTCCCCAGGGTGCGACTCGTCTCGATCTTCTCTATCCCGAATACCCCGAGATCGCCTCTTTTAGGGAACCCCCTTAGTCCACCGGAAGCGCGAGTTTTTTTCCCCCAATTTTCCCAATCTTCTCCGTTCCGGCGAACGCGCGAGTGCCCTCGAAATTAATTCCCTACTTCATCAGGCACGCCAATTTGGCCGGACTCTCCTCCTGGTCAACGCGCGTAACGAGCTAGAAGTTTAACTGCAGATTTTTCGCCGGTTAATTAAAACAACCCACTCGCGAGCGATAAATTGGGATAAAATTGGGAGACGCGGAACGCATCCGCCCCGCGACTATCACAATGCTCTTATCACCCCGAAAATTCGGAGCCCTCTTCTAAACGGGACGTCAGCCCACTCGTCAACCTAAAAAACATGAGAAATAAGGAAAAATCTCCGAAGAAATCGAGAAAAACCCGGGCTATCAGAGGTGGAGCGTACCTCCGCTACCGGCGACAATGCGGCCGATAATGACAAGTCCGCGGAAGAATTCCGGACCAGTTTGGACCCCGGCGGAGAGCTCGTCGAAAAGGGTGCTCCAGTTCCCCTCCGGGTAACGACAACTTCGTCCAATTATTTTTCCCTCGCTCGGTGCACCCCGAAACGCTTCGGCGCCACTCGTCTTATTTTCGCGATTCCGCGGCGGCGAGGACGCGCGGAAACGGGAGCGTCTCCCCGTCCCCCAAGAGTTCCTTCAATAGCGCGGCCGGCAATCGTTCTCCCCTCTAAGGAGATTATAAAATGTTTATGAATAATGGAACCCCTCCTCGTGGAGTCGCCGCTGCTCTTCGATAACGCGCACTAGGGGATTTCGGGCGTCGCGGCCTCGGACCGACGCCCGGCGTCCCTTCGCCGACCCTCCCGTTTCCTTCCAAGGAAATCCTCGAAATCCCTCGAAATCCCCCAGGTCGCCGATCGACCTGGAGCGCTTCTTTCGGGAATCCTTCGTAGGCCTCGAAACGATTAAATCCAGAAACGCGTGTCGACGTATGCGGAAAAATGAAAATAAATAGATAAATATGCGGAGAGTGAATTCTGCTCGCGGGATCGAAAACGCGCCGAATTAACCCGTCCGCTTAGCGGACGAGGCTTGCATCGGAGGGGTGAAATTAAACGCGATGCGTGTAAATGCAAAGGAAAAAAAAGTCGATAACCCGTCGCCGACGAGAGTCGATCCGCGCCGATGAAGAGCCGCGGATATATTTCCGCAGCATTCGAGCGCGGACGCGTACACGCGTCGAAGCGGACGGGTCGCGTGCCGTGGACCATTAACGGGAAATACGACGAATCAATAATTTTCTCTGGCGCACATTTACGAGGAGCATTAAACGCAGGGCGATCGCCGGGCGATTAATCGAACTACTGTCACCCGCAGCTCCATCGAGTCGGATATGCAAAGGGGTGGCGATACTACAGGAGCAAATAGCTCAATACACGGCCGTAAGGCCCGGACTCTACTCTGGAGATCGCAATTGGCATCTGCGTGTACCAGACGGCCGATCGAATCCTCGAATCAACCTCCGGGTGGAGGGCTCTAGGACTCGATAGCGTGGAAAGTAGGGGTTGATCGTGAAATTGACTACTGATAAACATTAATGATGTTTCCGGGAGAATTAGACATTTTCTACGGATATTTAGGTGTCCTTCGTTATCGGGTCGCGATTG